TTATTATTATTATTATTATTATTATTATTATTATTATTATTATTATTATTATTATTATTATTATTACGTTGTACTCTGCTCTATTCACATATCAATCAAGGTTTATTACCGATGTATTCATTAAAAGTTTATACCTTTTTTTAAGTTGATCATATTTGTTGCGATGATGTGATGCCATTCCACTCTCCTTATCACTACTTTCTACATTATCAAAAATTGCTCACACTGGACAGTGAAAGCTGCTTTTTAGAGCCACGCTCCACATTTCCTTATGTATTTCGCTTATCGCTTCATGCACAATTTTTAAAGCCATCGTTAAAAGTGAAAAACATCTATAACGATAAAGTAATTATCAGTAATATAATTAGAAATTGTTATTATCTAACGAACTGAAACGAGATAAGCCACAATAATCCTATCAGTATCTATTTCAGAGCAAAGTCTATTGCTCATTGATTTAAAGTTTTTCTTTCTTATTTTATTGCAATTCGATTCGATTTGATTACATTTGATTTATGATCAAGTTTTATCCTCACGCATACAGAGCCAAAGGTTCGGGATCATGAACTACCTGCTGAAAATCCAGTTAAATTCGATGAACACATGAACAAAATTTTATGTACGCTACACAATCATATTTTGAAAATTTTCAAGACAGAACGTTCATCGATATATGTGGGAATACTGCACCGAAATCTTCAATCCACATTCCTCTAACAACACTGTGATCGACTGTCTCTATAATCCATTTGAACAAGATCAACCTCGTTCGAAAAAATGTCTGGAGTTGGATGTGAAACTGTTCTCATCATTTGTGTGTGAAGTAAGATAGTTGCGCTCAAAATTTCATGTCTCACAGCTGACATTGCTACTTTAATATTTCACTGAAGTTGACGTGTCAGCAAACTGGAGCAGCGTTAAGTGAGCCGATTTAATAATTAAAATTTTATTAGCATGATGACAGTTTGAAATGGGTCGTTGAAAATTTTATTTCATTATCGTATGATAAGATTCAACATGGACTTTATGAGAGATGTTCTTTTCGCGATTTTTGAAAGATAAATCAAAGCCAGAAAAACGGCGGCTCAATACAACCATCAAGAAGTCAACTACTGTTGCCGATGCAAATTAGCGACAAAACAAGTAAAGTAACTTTTCGTCTCATGGTAATGAAAGGTAGTTTGTTTTACAGTATGATCATAAGGTACTCTCGACGAATACGAGCTGTATTGGTGTCGAGAAACTACTGTTGAGATTACTACATTTCTCTAATGAAACCCCAAACAGCACATGCTAATTGTAGTGTGCATCACTGTAAGTCAATGCTTACAGTCGAGCAATTTGATTCAACAAAAATTCGACCCTCTTCCGTAGTGCACCTGTCCGTATTTGTTCCGGTACTCACTTTTTTTGCGTTTATGATTGTATCTGCCAGATTAAGCAAGACAGATAGTGACTGTCACTCAGCATAATAAAATATTGAGCATTTGAAAAACTCCATAAAAAAGTTGGTCGAAATCAGTTTTCGTGGCGCACCCATTGTGTTATTACAAAAACAAAAGCATTTTTTATGAAAGGTGCATTAATTTTTTAAGTGAAAAATTTTGATGGTAACATGGAATGAAAAAGTTATTGATGACCGGTCTCTAACCTTCATCGTTTTTGTTCACACTATACCACTGTCTTCGTATTTGGTCCGTATTTGGAAAATTTGAGCCGAAATATTTCGCCTTTCAAAAGGTTTAGGCAAATTTTGAAATGTAGCATCTCGAATGAGGCTACTCTTATTCAAAACGGTCTCGGTGACTTATCGTAGTTCCCTACAAAGATGACAAATTTCTATACAAGCTCTAAAGATTCTTTAGTAGGATTGCTTTATGGAAATGTTCTTCCAGCAGCAATATCTCTTGTGGAAACAGACTGAAGAAATTCAGCATTGAAGCTTCAGAATGAAGTCAAAAAAGGCCAAACTTATTAACATTTAGCAAAATTTGCTATGACATTTATGACATAGAGAAGAACGGTTTGATCGCAACTCCACATTATAGTCTATCAAGAACCCATAATAAAAAGTATGTTCCGCCTGCTTCATTTCAATGGCATATAAATAGAACAGTTCCGATAAGGAGCGAGTTATCCATTGATCTTAACAAATGTGGTTCGCTTTAGAAATTCAATGACAGTAGAATAAACTATTTTCATAGTTTATTCTACTGTCATTGTTAACAATGATTATTACTGTTATATGAATCAATAATAATATTATCATTATTACTATTATTATCATTATTATTATTATCATGATTATTATTATCACTGTTGTTTTGTTATTACTGTTAACATTCTCATTATTATTACAAGTATTATAATAACTGTTATTGTTACTAATGTGGCTATGAATATTCACACACTTAATTGATGCCGTTCTGACATACATTAATGTGCTACTTATGGAACATATTTAGATGAACAATTGCATTGCTTTGTTTATTACATTCATCATGCACTTATTTCATGCTTTATTTTATTTTACACGTACCTGATTTTTTAATTGTACTTTCGTGCTGAATACATATACATAT